TCACATTTTATCAACCCCTCGAAAACGCCGTGTGCCCTATTTAAAATCTGTGAAAAAAACGTCCGGTTTTAGGATTTTTTCACCCACTTATCACGGCATATGGTGTTCGTAGCTATGTTTATATTTTATCTGAGAAGTTTCAGATTGACTTTTGGTACACTCGAGAACAACGCTCGTTTTTTTCGTATTTGCATATCAAATTGGCACGCACTGTAGTGAGGCATTTCCAGTATAAACCTGCGGGAGCTCGTGAATGTGATCGTTACCGAGTCGGCGAGAATTATTAGCGCATGCGTGCTGATTTTAGGTTGATTCTAATTCGTCGTTAGCGCCGATTGTTCATACGCCGCTGCTTGGGGTTTCAGAAGGAGTAATGCGAGATGACACGGTGGAAGGAAGAGAAAATGGTTACTTGCCGGGATCGAACCTGGGACCTTCCGAGAAGGAACACTATAACAGGCTGCTCACCGAGTGGGACGTGGAGAACTTCCTCGATGGTGTTTCCGCCGGAGGGATGAAAGAAAATTCGACCACGGTGGTAACTAGTGCGCAACCGATGGATCTGGCCAGTGATGACAGGACGTCCTCTGGTGGTCATAGTGATAATAAGAGTGCCGCTATGCGAGGTGAATATCGTATTCACATGTCGTTGATTAATTGGATTAATAGGTCCGCCTTCTACTGAGACTTGTGGAAGGAATGAGGAGAAGATGGAGGAGGATATCTTGAAGTAATGATGGGGGAGTGGGTAGTGAGGCCGACTCACAATGTAGAGGTTGTGAGTTCGAAACTTGGGAGCGCTTTTTTAGCCGCCAAAACGTTTAAGTGTTCTCGTTCAGGTCGGCAGTTCACGCCCCTGAAGATGCTTCCCCACGCGCTGCTATTGTAGCGAATAGTGCAGGCAAGAGCCTTTTGGGAGATGGAACCGCCTTGACTCGAGGTGATGCTATATTAGGGATCGACGAAATCTGTGCGGGCGATGGAGGAATCAGATGAACTGCAGTTTAGTCATTTCTCTGATGCTTCGGTGGAAATTCGAAATCATAGTGGTTATACCGCAGTGTGGGAAAATATGCTCATGGTCGACCACATATGTTGGTGACAATATGGAAATTCTGAGGAAAATTTCCGAAATTCTTGCGGGTTCCTGTGCATTTCTACCCTAGTTTGTATATGAACTCCTATAGTTAGTGAGGAAACTCCTAGGGTCAACTGAGGAAAGCGATCATATATTACAACACTGTTCTACCGTAACGGTTTATGCAAGTCAATAAGTAACTCAGAATGAATGGAAATCGATAATTTGTGTGGAGCATATTTTTCAGATATGCCAAGGAGCGTTTCGGGTGGTAGTGGAACGGTGCCTCGGGCAACTACTCCTGGTGAGTTGTCTGTACGGAAGTACACATGTCGCTTCGATATTGGCATCGAGAACGACAAGGAATTCCAGGTAGATAAAGGTGGCATGCTGGGGTTGAACCTGGGTTGTTATGTGGGTGGATGGAGTTTTGTCTCACTGAGCTGGATGGATGTGCTTTTCAGGTGGCGAGGCGAATCATCGGTCAAAAAGGCGCGAACATGAAGAGAATAGTCAGCATGTCGAATGCAAAACTGCGCTTGAGAGGACGGGGTTCGGGGTAATTGAAATGGCGGGCTTGATCGATCGCGTGATCGACTTTTCAAGCCGGCACACCAGTGTTGGAGGAAGATATGTTTGCTTCCCTCAGCTGAGCTCAGGAGTTTTTACACTAATGATAGGAGTTTATATATGAATTCGGATAGATGTGTACAGAAACCACTGAGAATTTCCCATGATTTGCTCGGAATTTCCATATTGTCACCAACACATGTACTTGATCATGTGCATATTCCCCCACACTGTGACGCAGCGTTAAGAAATGATCATTGGGCCGTTTTGTCGGGACGGTATGAAATCGATCACGTGATCGATTATGTGCGGTTGTAGGTATCTTGAGGGAGCTGCTCGTGTCGAGTCACCAGACCCTCTTCACCTCTGCATAAGTTGTCTCACTAAAGAAGGGTAAGCGGGGAATTCACTCCGGATGTTTCCGCTCGATTGCCATAGGGTGAGAGACACGTTATGTTCTGGCCTCCTTCTTCTGTGGAAAACATATCCCTCGGTGAAATTGTTATTTTCTGACATCATTCTCGTTTGGAAAACATATCTTTCTGTGAAAATGTTATTTTCTGACATCATTCTCGTTTGGAAAACATATCCCTCTGTGAAAATGTTATTTTCTGCCATCATTCTCGTGTGAATCACATATTTCTCGGTGAAAAATCTCTTTTCTTCAAATCACAAATTTTTTTCTGAATAACAAACCAAGTCTCGTATTTCTCGGTAAAAATTGCTTTTTGAGTGATAGAATGGAAATTATATTTCTCGGTGAAAAAAAAGGTGAAGATATTAGTAAACGGTGAAGTAGAGAGTTGCAACGCAGATAAGTTGGACCATTTATTGAGGCACTTGAGCTAGTGAATTCAGTTACGAAAAGGCCGTGGCAGAAAGCGCAAATTTATTAGAGAAAATTTACTCGGATTGGAGAGAATTTAATATCAGAAAACATCGTGGGAACCCGGTAAGTCGGTGGACTGTGAATCGAGCGGATGTGGGTTCGAATCTCGGTTGAGTATTTTCAATCCGTCGACCACCACGAGTGATCACATCGTGTTTAAGTCACAAATCTGAACAATTTGGGACAGGAGTTGGGACCACATCTGTAAGAGTCGCTGGGTTGTCGGGCATCACTATCGAGAAGGAAAGTAAAAAGGTGGAGAATTTGAAAAAAAAATGTTCGCCAAGTATCTTCCAGTGTTGAAATATGTGTTCGCTTTCCTCAGCTGAGTCCAGGAGTTTCCTGACTAATTATAGTAAGTTTACATTCAGATTTGGGTAGGAGTGTACAGAAACCAATGAGAATTTCCTCAACTTTTCTCATAATTTTCACAAATGTCACCTGCACATGTAGTTGACCATGTACATATTTTCTCACACTGGTATTGTCAAGCTCCAGTTCTCTCTATTTTCCAGGGATATCTCAAACTCCACATGAAGGAGCAGTTCTTGTTCAGCGGGAAAGGAGCTGATGGTCCCCAAAGAAGTTGTTGGTCGAGGAATACAGATAAACTCACGAGCGCATCTGCTGGTAGAAGAGTTCACAGCAAGGTGAGTCAACGGTCGTCTTTTTGGGAAATGCGAAGTATTGGTTGAATTTAAGTCTTCGTGTTTTCTTAGTTACGATCATAACTCCTTTTGCAGGCTGCAGGCACCTGCACTATATAGTCGATCAATCGACAACTGCTACGTTTGCTATGGAAGGATGCTCTTGTATGTACACTCGTTGTGATTATGTTGTCCATGCGTGCAGATTCATTGTGTCATCTGTCTCCTCTTCTTGAATGCTGCGTGATGATGCTAGAATGAGTGCATTTTCCCTCTCGTACTGATATTCATTTCTGTGTTTGTTACTTTACTTTTAAGCTTCCTCGATTTCTGATTAAAAAGATGCAAAATGAGTTTCAAGAGAACATTCCAGTTCGAGTTGCCATTGATCTTAATGGGTGTTTGCGTACTGTCCATACCACTACAAGGTAACAGGTGTGTTCGTTCATATTAACAGTATTGGACTTTAGCGCACGCCATGGTGATCGATTACTGAATTGGTTATATAAGAGTTTGACTCAATCCGATTCAAGGTGATGGATACAGTCTTTCTCTTTGCGTATGCAACTTTGCTAGTATTGCATTGCCATTCGAACGATACATCACTGACGTCCAGATAGGTGTATCCTCATGTCTCTTGGTATCGGGCTCTTACGCGGGTGACTATCGTGTTTGACAAATCGTGACGTGTTTGGTGTATTTTTATATATTCCTCTTGAAATTGTGTTGATGAGCTCAATGAGTGATCAGCGACAGGAGAGGGATTGCTGGTGACGGCTAGGCTGCGAGCGATGAGAGACGAGACGAGACGCCGGTCGTGCGGTGACGGGAGGTTTTCTCGGGTTTCTGCACGCTCGTATAGCAGTGCGCTAAGAGGTTTGAGTCTAACCGGGACAGCTGGTGATGATCACACTATAACCAGCGAGTAGTTGGAGGTTGACGGCTTGACAGACAGTTTTGAGCGATCAAGGATGAGTCTCGAATTGAGAGGTGACGCCCGATAGCGCCTTGGAGACGAGACGGATGAGACTGGAAATTCTCGCCGGATTGCCTCCATCTTTTCCCCTTATCATCTGAGCTGTCACAATGCACTTCATCGCTTTGACCGTCGCTGCCTTTTCTGCTGTGGCCCTTCAAGGTTGCAACAAGAACAATAAGACCACTACTACCACTACTACTACGACCGCTCCGACTATCACGCCTTCTGTGATTACCACCGGTGGTCCCACTAAGAAGCCTATTGTGAGCACTACCGCGGCCCCCACTAGTAACACCACGGTCACTCCTAGAAACACTACGGTCACGCCTAGTACCAAAGTTACCACAACCACTACTACAACTGCGGCTCCCACCAAGCACTCCTGTCTTTCCACTTCATGCAAGAATGAGGGCTATCAAGGAAACTACTGCATGAACGTCGAGATGATTGCTGGGAAACTACACGGTCACTGCTATAACAACACACAGGTCGCGTGCGTCTGTGACGTGCCACTGCCTGTTACCGCCTCTCCCCCTGATCCGTCTGTGCCAGCCGTGTCCTGCCTGCACTCCAAGTGCCCTGATGATTACTGTATGAACTCGCGTCCTGGGTTCCCTGGTAACTGCCATAAGAAGCGGGAGGTTGCATGCAGCTGCAGTGATCCTGATGCTGGTAAGATCATCAAAGCCTTGAGAGGATGAATATGCTGCCTGATGCGCAGCTTCAGCCGAGCCTACTGAAATAATAGACCATCATTTGGTCCTTCAGAGTAACTCGACTATTTTACCACGATGATTCGTTGTGTTATTACCACAGTAATCAATGGTTGTAAATTTCAATTGAAAACCTACACGATAGAGGACCCATAGAACGCTATGGCGTCATGATGCACCCATGGTCGTTGGAGTAATAAAATACCTCCCCCTCCCGGTCGCCGCTATACAGCTGAGAATCCCACCAGATGTTTGGTTGGGCCCCCCTGCCAATATCAACAGTGATCATAGTACTCGATTGGTTACTCTGTGCGGCGGGGCGGCTACGCCACCAACTCAAGACATGTCTTTGTGCATTAAATGTCTCTGGCCACCGGGGCCGCTATGCCACTCCCTTGAGACAGGGCTAAGTGCATTCAATATTTCTGGCTATTGGGGCCGCTATGCCAGTGCCTTGAGACATGCCTCAGCGCAATCAACTCCTCTGACCATAGAAGCAACTATGCGATCGCGAGGAGGCATGCGTTAGTGAAACCAATTTCTCTGTCCGGCGGGGCGGCTATGCCACTGCCTCGAAACATGCATTAGTGCAACCGATTTCTCTAGCGACTGGGGCGGCTATGCCACTGCACATTCCACAACACACCTTAGTGAAATTCCTATATCTGGGCGGCGAGTCGGCTATACCGCCGCCTCAAGACAGTGTCTTGAAGACACGCCCTAGTGAGATCAATATCTCTGTCCGGCGGGGCGTCTGTGCCGCCGCCTCAAGAGGTTTGCTCGTCCCATTAACAGGGCTCTACTTCTGACTTTAAGAGGTCTTTGTGTTAGTGCTGTCTCCTTGTGCGCGCGATGTATGGTGAACAGCCAACGTAAAGCACCTCGCCCATCGCATTCCCGCCCACTTGTCGTGCTCGATGATCCCGCCCTTGGGCCATAAAATGATTCCGCCATGAAATGAATGGCGCGACATCCCGATGGAGAGTGGAGCCATGGTTTCTGCCATGGGCAGATCCACAATCATCCAGCTCATCAAGGGACCGGGTTTGGACGCTGCATCAGAAGTCGGCGGTCGAGTAACACGAGAAGCCTGCCCATCTAGACGAGATGCTAAGTCATGACATGAACTGACAGGTTGGGATCCAGGAACGAGGTATTAGGTGCGATAGCTAACTCAGTCCGTAAGCCAAGTTTGAAGATTCGGCTGAGCTGCGAATCAGATAGTTTATAGTCAACAGCAGCACAATCAGCCTGAAGCGCTAGGGGTCTATCAAGGTGATCATATACAGACTCGGAAGGAGCCTGGACAAAAGAGTCGATACGATCGCCGAGACAATCGTGATTGTTGGAGTCCCCATAGGTTGTACGAAGCCAATAAACGCCTCTATCAAGAACAGTTGTGTAATCAACAAGCCCTAAGTCAGACTGTGCGGAAGGTTGGACCGCCGACAGAAGCCCTGCTTTGACATTCTCGCCGAAACAACGAACTAAATAATGCCACGCTGATCTCGAGCTCAATCCGAGGTGAGTAATTTCACGTTGAATAGCATGTAGAATGGAATTTATATGGCGAGAATCAGGAGAAAGTCCAGCATGACATCGATTATTAGGCATCCGCGTAGCTGTAATAGTCTGTACAGATTTCATACACTCAGCTAACACCTTGGGATCATCGCTCGATCCGGCCACTGATCGCACATTTCCAGCAGAATTTACGCTAGAAATCCCAGTGTAACGGGGTGGATTACGAACAGACGCGGCGTGGGAATCAAGAGCAGATGAAGAGGGTAGAGCTACTAGACCTTTAGCTAGCCGGAAGAAATAGATTTCGCGATATTTACTACGATCGCGAAGTTCGGGCAAAGCGGATAGAGCGTGTTCAAGTTCATCAAGTTGAACACCGTGTAAAAGCCCAACATCAACGTCTAAAAAGTCGGCTAATGTCTGTTCCCCATCCAGAGTAGAAGAAGTGAGCTTACCTGGTTCATCAGTAAGCATAACGGGTTCTCCACCAAATAACTTGATGGAGAACTTGGTCCAAGTTGTTGCGACTCGACACTTATCCAGTGCTCGGACAATTCGATCAGCTGGGCGTGCGCGCAATTATGTCGACGCATGCGTGCAGGGCCAGGTGCATGCGTGCATGGCCACACAGAGCGAGCCGTGTTCTAGAGTGTGAGTCACCACCCTTCCTCCACATCATTATCTTAGCGCTTAAAGCTGGATAAGTGTCGAAGGAGCTTGTGAGTATCCGAGGAAGCTGTCAGTGGAGTGTTTTCCAAGGTTATCATGTTTCCACCCTTCGGGCATGCTCGTTTCATGGCATCGAGCGTAACCGTTGATGATTCGTGATCGGGTCTGTGTCCTACGGGAGTCTTTCCGACTCGGTCCAATATCCCTCGGTGTAATGGATCACGCCTATTAGAGTTCGTTTATTGGACGGGTGCCACGCTTGCCTCGGATGTAGGCTAATGCACGAAGTTGTTGTAGGATCGCTGATGATTGCTCGGTGAGTCTGATGAGCTTTTCTGATAGTTATTTTCCGCACATTCACATGCGAAATGCCTCTCTCATCTGCGTTGTGGCGGCCCTTTTGATGGCCTCGTTTAGTGGTTGTTCGAATAATGGTGGTGGGACAACTACAACAGCCCAGCCTGCGAGCAGTACCCCTGCCCCTGGCAGCACTACAACGGGTCCATCGACTGCCCCTGGAAGCTCTACAACGGGTCCGACGACTGCTCCAGGGCCGACCACATCCACGACTACCGCCGCTCCTGGCAGCACTACAACGGGCGCGTTATCGACCACCACAGGGTCGGCCACGACAAGTACCACAACCCCGACTCCCCATGGGTATTCTTGCCCGTCAACCAATTGCTCATCGAATGGCGACTACTGCAAGAACGTTGCTAAAGGCAAAGGGGCCTGCCACCTACATATTCAACAACCTTGCTATTGTGATATCACGGCCGGACCAGATCCTGGAAAGCGAGATTGTAGATCTCCTGACTGTGATAGGTTCGGGGACTACTGCCAGAACTTCGAATATGGTCGAGGTCATTGCCATCGGAATGCTACTAAGGACTGCACTTGCCCGCCAATCACGAGCACGACCACTTCAAGCACTACCGGTCCTACGAGCCCGTCTCCTACCACTCCAGCTTCTACAAGCCCATCTCCTACCACTCCATCTTCTACAAGTCCATCTCCTACCAGTCCCTCTCCTTCCAGTTAAACATCTACCAGTCCGTGGCTTGGGTGTATCAGGGCGAGGCTGTCATGACCTGTGCAGTCACTGACACTACGACAAGTTCACCCGCCGCAAATATCCTGACTATCGTTTAATAGCCTTCATCGACTAGGTAGTCGAGAGACGGGTCAGCTCTGTGGAAGTTTCTGAGATATTTGACCATTCCGATCCAGCTGGGGGCACAGCTGAAAAATTGCCATATTATTAAGCAGGGTATATTGTCTTCGTTGTCAAAAATGTTATCATTCTTTCGGTCGAGCTCCTTAAGTCTTGGCTGTTTTAAAAACTCACCTTATCTCCCCCGAGGGCTGAAGATAGGTGAAAGTTTCACTCTTTTTTCACTAAGAGAACTACGATTAGAATCCAATTGCGACGGGTTCGGCCATGTCACCGTCGCCTGACAATAACTGCCTTGTGTTGAACAGTCTCGACCATGGGAAAGTGGAGGTATGGGTCGAAATCGCGAATATCAGTCGCATGTTCGTTCGTCATGAAAGATCTGTCTTGTAGAGGAGTCAGCTATTTGGTGAACTAGAAGGAACAAGTTGGATCACAGAGGTTATCCTCGTGTTAGGCGAATATTGCCACGTTGTGATACTATGCTTGATAACGCAACTAACACTTGAACGCTGTAGTGAACAATCACCATGCTTGGATGCATGGCAATTTGCTCTGCTTGAAGTTACATAAAATCGTGCTGAAGTCGTGCTTGTCTCCGTTGTCCCAAGCAACCAAGTAGACCTGCTGCCAGAAAAATTAAGGAATCGGCCTCAGTTGGAAAATTTCAGTTGCTCATCAGTGATCAATTCACATACGGTATGTCCCATCAGATACACTATTTTGAACCTCTTTAGAGAAGCTCGTTAGCCAGCCCGTGGCACAAAAATTTGCAATGACGGATGTTCGCGGTCCGCAAATCCCGGATCTAACCCCCAAAGGTTACTTTAGCGAGAGAGAAAGGAGGCGGTTTTCGCGAGCCATCTGGCTCGAACGAAAACCGCAATATGAGGTCAATTTAACCGCATAAGTGTGGAATCCGTTACGAGAATTGTATAACTCAAAGTTCTCGAGAATATTCAGTAACGATGTATCACACTATGTCAATGGAGTATGTTTGTGTAGCATATTATCGTCCGTATATCACTGCCCATATATTACCACCTCCCCATGCATCATTTCCCACATTGCAAACACAATCAGTT